CCTTAAGTTTCCAGTGTTCACATTGAGATATGTACTGAATCAATTAACAGAAACATGACTAATTTATTCACTTACTCCACTGATATTTTATTAGCTGTAACAACAACTTGAAATTTTAAATAGTATTGAAGATGAAACTCTTTGTTTTTTCAAAACACATAAACTATGAAGATACTGATTAATTAAAAATAATAACAATACAAATAAAAACTAAGCTACAATTCTCCAACAATCACCATTTCCATACAAACTACTGTATGATATTTGCATCTTTATGTTGTTAGCCAATAAATTACGACTGTAAATACACTAATTTTCAAAAGCTTCAACAATTGAAACGAGTCAATCATCAGTACTGTTGGTTGCTACTGACACTCGGAGCTCAATAATGGAACTGGCAGTGTTTACTGTCTGCACAACAATCTAATAATAAAGAACTAGCTCTCGCGTAGATTGATGAAATTAGCGAATGCTCCCCAGCACCTAGTTATGACTATGTTACATGCTAAAACACGTCAGCATGTACGATCATATATTTATATATATAACCAATAAATAACGTGGTAGAAGGTTGTGTTCGTTTATTTTTTTTTAATCTTGTTTTTTTTGCTGATGTATTATAAATATATTAATTGCAACCTTACACTAGGTTTCATGCATCAATATGAAACCGGTAATCTCATTATGAGACACCATGTAAACTAAATCCTAACCACATACGTACATCTGATCCGTTACCACGGCAACTGTACATTTATTTAAAGATCTCCGAGATCCGGACATGGCCAGGTGATTAGCATGCCCAGTCGTGGCTCCGAGATAATGCATGGTTATATAATTAGTGCAAAATTGTCGACGGTTTTAAAAGCCTATTATTAATACTCATTGTGCCATTTTGTACTCAAGTTACATAAGTTCTTATGTGCATAAATTTGTATTAAGTATGTGTAAATAAGAAAGGTCTACTGACGCTTTCCTAGCGATATTTTTATTCAGATTCCATCGGTCAGTGACAGAATCAATGATTCTACTTTTAAACTTTATTTGGACACAGTTCTGTAGAAGTAAGATTACATACGTAGGATAGTAAGTGTATATATATATACATATTCAATATCAAGAGTTAGTAGTTAGTTCTCTCGTATTCGAGAGCTTAACATTGAACAAAATCAAGTTTACAGGGTATCAACTTATTAACATTTATCACTGTGTTGTACTGCCACGATAATTTTATGCATGCTGCAGGTGTTCCTCCTTTGGTCTATGAAATTATAGTAGCCACTGTAGCAGAGGTTCAACGTTACTGTTTCTGAAACACAATTTGGTAGCATTATTTCCGGACATCTTATATATTCTAACAACACAATCATCAACCCTTTCATTATTAATGGTTATTATTGGTTTATTTGTTTTTGAATTTCGCGCAAAGCTACACGAGGGCTATCTACGCTAGCAGTCTCTAATTTAGCAGTGAAAGACTAGAGGGAAGGCAGCTAGTCGTCACCACCCACCGCCAACTATTGGGCTACTCTTTTTACCAACGAATAGTGGGATTGACAGTCACTTTATAACGCCCCTACGGCTGAGAGGGCGAGCATGTTTAGTGGGACGGGGATTCGAACCCGCGACCCTCAGATTGCGAGTCGAGCGCCCTAACCACCTGGTTATTATTGTATACTCAAGTATGTACGAGTGAAGCGTAAAAGAGTAATGAAAGTGTAAAGAATTAATAAAAAAAAGTATTACAAGTTACACTTTTTACAGTTTATTTTTAGAACACGTACGACGTTACGATTACTGGTGCGATAATTCTCGAGCACACGAGTTAAAACGGTAAAGGTCTTAGTATTTAAATCAATATTCAACTTTCTTTACCGTTAAAACCTGTGTACTTGAGAATGGTCGCACCGGTAATCGAAACGTCGTACGTGTTCTAAAAAAAATCTTCTTTACTGTAAAAACTGTAACTTGTAATAACATAATATTTAATCAGAAAGTAAACTCAAAACGACTCTTGTAATAAAAAAATTGTTATATTTATCCTACGTTTATATTTTCTCTTGAGTCAAAGTAACTTAACCCATCATCATCCACACGCGCTTTGAGCATCACGTGATGCACACGTAAAGCTCTCTTCTAATCTCATACGTTTTAATAACCAGTTTCTATTTCCACGTTCACGAACATCGGCTGTATATCAACTAAAAGTAGTCGTGTGTCACATACGATGCTCAGGTGTTTTACCATTATGTTCTGTGAACCGCACGCGATGCACAGGACAAGGATAGGGTTAATTGCTCTAATTTAGCCTATATACTGACATACTTAAATAAAGTATTGCAATAAACTACTAGTAAAGAAGCCACTTATAAATTTTATATCTTTGGCTCCAAAGTTCAATAACCAAGTGTTTGCCTCGGAGACCTCTATAAGAACATTGTTGACAAGCTTTTCACGTTTCTTGGAGAAATATAACAATAAAGATGTTAACACAACGTAAGCTACCACAACACTTGTTGACAAACAAGTAAGCTATCGTTTCGTAATCTCTATTAAATGAAGCATTTACTTCTCGTTTTAAGAATGAAGATGGCCGAGATGATTAAACAAGCAAGAAACGAAACGCTAGCACAATAGTTACACCATTACTTTAAAGCTATTTACATTATTACAGAGATCAACGGTCAGAGAATAATGGATAACAGCACAACTTTTCTCGAGATCTTTGAATATCAAATACAGTGTTACTGGATTCATAATGAGAAATTAAATTTAAACCATTAAAACATTGATGATATAAAGTCAGAGCATTTTATTTTTTAGGGTAACACTCATAACCAGCATCATTACACGCTGAAGTTATTAAAAGGTTCCGCAGGGGCTAAAGCTTAAGAGTTATTAAGTGCAGAACATGAAAAGTTCACATTAATAAGCATCCTGAACAGTTAAGAAATACAATAATATCTACAGAAACAAATACTTTTATCTACTCACTAAGAAATCACAGGAACACTTGATTTTCAAACATACCATCAGGATGTTACACTTAAGATACGAATCCTATCTAAACTCATTGTTAGCACTTTGTGCTTGACATTAAAATCTAAATACCACTATGAGATACTTTGTTGAAAAGAATTTCAAACATGCATATACAGTACTGCAAAACATTTTGCCTTTTTTTTTTTATTTTACAATGTACAACAATTACTAGTAGAGCCCCTAATACAAATCAGAGAGCTTACACGTCATGAAATTGAGCTCTTGTATACTGGTAAATGTAGCATACGACTCCGAGTCAACCAGGAATGCGTTGTGCTCTACAAAACGGAAGTTCATTTTTTACTGGCTCAATAATTGAAGGTATATAATCTGCTGAGCACCACAAGATTATTAGATTTTGTACACTGATACACTATCCAATCAGAATAAACTGTACGCTCATAAAAACATAATGCTTACTCAATTTGAAACATATGAAATAACTAAAGGGAACATACGGTCTTGGTTAAATAGTGAATAATACTAAATAAAAACAATATATATATATATATATATAAACATTGACTCAAATATTATCTAGAAGATACCACTGTTTCAACACACACACACACAAAATAGACTCAAACATTATCAAGAACATACCACTGTCCAACACACAAAAAACACTGACACAAACATTATCTGAAATATACCACTGTTCAACACACAAACACAAAACAGACTCAAACATTATCCAGAACATACCATTGTTCAACACACGCACACACAAAACTGACTCAAACATTATCTAGAATATACCACTGTTCAACACACAAAAAAACAAAAACACTGACTCAAACATTATCTAGAATATACCACTGTTCAACACACAAAAAAACAAAAAAACACTGACTCAAACATTATCTAGAACAAACCACTGTTCAACACACACAAAAAACATTGCCTCAAACAT